CTATCTCCCACAGACAAGTCAAATAAAGAGGCCCACGCACCTCCTAATATATGAATGTTGCTGCAAGCCTCCATGTCCGGCTTGGGTTTTGAGTTTTTGGCGTGCAGGCAGGCACTGGACAGTCACCAGAACAATAAGACGTCGGGTACTTACTGATTGATCCATGTCGCAATGCAACTGCACAAGCCCAACCACTGCTTTTCACAAGAACGCAAGTTCTGCCACGTCTCCTCTTCCCCAGGCGCTGCGGAAGTGGCATCGGCATCCGCTCCTCATCAACGGATTGGTCATTGTCTGCAGGGGATACACTGGATAAGCATTGGCATCAATGCCCCCAACTCTGGGCATACTGCACCCGCCAACAGTGGCTCTTTCCCTTGTGGCCCAAGAGGCGATCTGTTCAAGTTGCTTTGTCCAAGCTAAAGTCCATGCAAGCGACCGTGCTGTCGGGAGTTCGAGACATGTGCTCTCCCCATCCCTGCCTGCTGCTGCCTCCAGGCTCTGCGTCAACAACTCCTGGCACTGCAATAACACGTCGTGGCAGGCCTGGACTTTGTGTGTAACCGAGTAAAGACTCATGAGTGTGACTACTGGCAGATGGGGTCTCAGGGACACCAGCAAGGAACGCAACTAGACCATAATGGTCAATCGAACGTCAACAGAGAGAGAGAGAGGGAAAGAACGGGGGAGAGGGGGAGAAGAGGCAAGGCAAAACTGCATAAAACTGATTAAAACTGTACGGTTACAATTGGTTCTTAAGATGATGCTTTTGAGTCATGCAGCTGCTACAATTCACCGCCAGCCAAGGCTGACCCTCAATCATGGCTCCTCCAAGTTGGGGCAGGCCTCTGACATCACGACACACTAAATGTTCATCTTGAGCCAACGCCCTGCAGGAGAACAGATTCAAATCATGTGGACGGTGGACATGGCAATCATATGCCAAACATTCCAAATGCAGAGCCTACATCGGGCCATCCCTGGGTGTCAGGCCCGAAGGTCGCTTGGAACTTCGTGCATGGCGTTCTGCCAAAAGAAACTCCTTATTGTTTCTAATAGCTTCTTGTACTACTAGTAAGGCACTTGTTACTAGAAGCGATGCACTTGTTCCTAGTAGCTTCCTAAGTGCTATATGTTTGCCAGCGACTTACTAAATGAGGCTAGACCGAACTGTCGTCGACCTGTGCGCACTGCAAGATTTGGATGGCACTGGCACATTTGAGCCAACAGCGCTCAAGCAAAGCAACCATCACAGTTTGACACACTAATTACATCTAATTATATACCTACTCACAAAAATGATGAAACGTTAATCCAGGACGGGGACAAGTCGACATCCAGCTTCCTGAGACAGAACACGTCCATCCAAGTCTTGGTGCTCAAGTATATAGTTACCGCATCAGCGTTGTATCTAGCCCTGTGCTAAACTTTGAGGTACTCACAAGAAAGAAGAGACAAGTACAGCAAGAGCTTCAAAAGCAGCAATCAAATCCTGTCTGCGCTGTCTGTCTGTGTATATGTGCATAAGTCAGTTTCCCAGAACAAATGCCGACAGCAGCTGGCTTTCCATCGTCAGACAAGACCACATTGTCCCAAAAAGCATGTTTTGTGGTCTTCGTGAGTCTTCACAGCTTATATGCAGTATATATTCACAAAATCTTCAGCGGCGTCGCTATGAAACTCGCATTTTTGCTCCTGTCAGGCGGCTCTAGGCAACGTCCCTCAATCAGCACTCGCCCGACCGAAGGCCCCAGTAGACAACTTCTGCTTTTTCCAGAACAGCAATATGGCTGGGACAAATTCACACCGTTTGGGAGCTTGATGCTCCTATACTGAATGAAGAAGGTCTCACTATATGTCCAATGGTTCCGGGCGGCTACATGAGCTAAGAATCTTGGAACAAAAACCATTGTTGGGGATGCATCAGGAGGTGTGCATTACTGCGCCACCTGCATCACCCCAAAAATGGAGCTTATAATGAGATGTAAGCTTTGCGCAACAAGGTTACGCAATGCCTGCTGGTCGCAAACGCTCTTCAGGCGCTTCAACGACCGAGGTTTGATTTTCAAAAGTGTGCCACTTGAATCACCATAGGCGGGTATTTTAACTGATGGATACCAACCACTACCATTCCGAGATCAAAGGGATTGATGAAGGAGCAATGGCACGATGAAGGGGTGACGGACACAATACATCTATTTCCCAAACCATGAGTGATTGCAAGCAGCTTCTGGTCTGTACTGCACACAAGCATGTTCCTCTCAAAGCCTTAGTTGATTTGCATGCAGCCCGTGTGACGCCACGTGAAAGGTATCACACCAGCAATGCATCGCTCGATATCTGCCATCAGCACTTCTGGTCTGCAGTCCCTCAAATTGCAATCCGCATCTGCCGTTGTCCACTTTAAGCTGCCGTTGTCTAGAGATTGTCTTGCAGCCGCATGGCCTTCTATGCCGAATCAAGTCGAATTCCCACCACTCTGTGGTAGTCCTTGGTCACTGGAAACGTGCACTCTCTCTGGGTGGTGTCTTGCAAAAAATATTCTTGAAGAAAACAACATCATGAATTTGATTGCATGTCCGTCTCACCTTCACTGCTTTGTAATCAAGTCAAAGGCAATTGAATTGGGAATTGCCATCCAACATGATGATAGCCCGTGGCGAATGCCTGGGCACCCGGCTCTAACTAAAGCACCTGAAGCAAAAGGGCAGTGGAACATGAACACCCTGTGAGTTTGGCCAAATCAATGTAGTGTAGGTGTCCCTCTCTCTCTAGCGGTTACACTTAGCCGGTTGAACAGCATTTAGACTATCTGTTACTATCCATGATTGGGCATAATTACGTGGTCAAGATGCCTGAACGAACTGATGTACGGTATTCTTGCTGTTGGCGTCGTACAGTAAAGTGCATTTCACAGGCGAGAATGATGTACGAGAACTTCTGTAGGAGCGGCGCCAACCCATCCATGACTGACGTTGATTGATATAGAGAGGCCAGTACTCTGGCCATGGTGTCGGGCATGTGGCAACAGGTCTCTAGAACATTTTGCTGCTGGCCACCACAATTCTGGTCCACTGGTGCTTTTGTCTTCCCCATCGCGCTAAAATACAATAAACATAGCCTGACCTTGCTAATATCCGAGTGCCCCCTGCAGAACCAACCTTGGCTCAGACCAAGCCCCTTTTAGCTAGTGTTGGCGCCTGTCTGCAAGGAGTGCCCTCACAGTGGATAAACGGATAAACAAACTGAAGCAGCTGGCCTGGTGACAAGTGAGGGTGCTGCAACCAAAATGCTGGCAGCCGCATCACTAGTCACTCCTGAGAATTTCCACTGGTAAACATCGGGCTGACTTCATCTGACTAACTTCATAAGTCTCACACATACGTAGTTCACATGTTGTTCATGTTCATTCATTATTAGTTTCAATCAGTGCTTTTTTGCAAAGTAAAACGCATGGACAAAGTCAACACCAATGCAGCAACAATAAATCCCCAAACTGGTCAACCATATGGAGGCCGTCTTCACCATCTCTCTCTCTCTCTATGTCTGTATCGATCATGTGGGTACACTCTGAAAACCCGTTTGCTGCTGCCTCCTCATCCTCACACTCCTCTGCATGTCCATTGTTTTTTCCTGCGCGCCGCCTGATGGCCAAATCTCCAACCCCATAAGTACGATCCACACATTGAGGCAAACGCTCACGTGCTCCCCACACAAGCAAAACCAAATGTGATTGCTCCATATGACCCGGTCGGCAAGTCTTGACACATCTGACAGCACACGACACCTCTGCCCAGCCTTGATCGCCTGGGCTTGACCTTTTTCTTTCTCGCTTCACGAGAGCACAAATGGCAAAAGGCACCTTGGCACGCGGGCACGCGCAGGCTTCCCGTGCACTGTCACATGGATCTTCCGGATCAATTTGCATTCCCGTTACAGTAATACGTCATGAATCGCCGTGATACCGAAGCTGACACGAGGTTGCTATTCAAAGGATGATCCCTGATATTCCCTGGTGAATATTTGGAGAAAGGTAAGGTTCGATTTGCCTTCTTTTGTTGGGTTTATTTGGTCTGGATCTGTTGATTTGCTCCTCCAAAATGACTCCCGAACCTGTGCTGTGCCAGTGCCAGTGGGGGCTGCCAAAGGCAAAGTGCTTCAGCAAAAAGCCTACTGGAATCTAGTGGATATTTGCAGTGCTTTGGATCATTAACTACATTCTGGTTTGGTAAGGGGTTATCGGTGCTGCGGGTTGCACACTGGTACACTGGCAGCCTAGAATATGTAATATGTTTATCTAGGTCTAGGTATGCGCATGACATGCAACTACAAAGAACGGCAGCTTGCTACAACTGCCAACATTACATGGACACGGAGAGGGTGCACACCCACCGGAGAAAGAAACACATGTGGCTGTCAACGCAGGGTCGATGCACTTTCTGATCAATTGATGTAACCAACAAGAAACGTTGCCAAGTAGCATGTCTCGCCTAAACGACATCCATCCTTCCTTGCGCAGTCATGGAGAGTCTGCTCATACAACAACATTCAAGATATTAGAGCAAAATACAGGCAAATGTTCCATGTGCACAACAGCCGAGGAGTGTCAAGCGGTAGCACCCAGCTACTTGCTCCTAAAAGTAGTCAGGTAAAAGATTGCAAAAATAGGTCACAACTACATGAAGATCTGGAAAGTGTTTACAATATGCGTTTTGTTGTGCCAGCGGGCGCCATCCCTGCATGAGATTCACAAATCCTCCTCAAAAGTCGCAGTTCTCAAAAATGCATCTGGGAGTCTTGTAGTTGAAGTAAGCACATGGTCCTTGGCAGGACAAATGTCTGATCAAATGTTTGCATGTGTGTTTGCATGTGTTTGCATGTGTTTGCTGCATATCTGCGATTTATCGTGGGATTTGCATTCACTAACAAAGACTGTAAGTTTTGAAGCTGCCATCCACTTTGAGGACCAAACGGCACTCACCTCGCCTTAGAGTCGCTAGCAGCTAGCTAGAAATAGAATGTGAGTCGCTGCATAGCGACACGAGCAAACACACCGGGGCGGGTCACAGCGGCCGCAGACCGGTCGGAACAGAGTTCCGCAGCGAGGAGCGGAGCAAGAAACACCCATTCGCAGCAAGTAGGAAGCTATAAGAACAAGTGCATCGCTACTAGGAACAAGTGCCTTACTAGTAGTAACAAGAAGCTACTGGTAACAAGTGCCTTACTACTAGTAACAATAAGAATTTAATTAGCAACTTCTTCCAACTAATCAAGTGGGCGGACTTTCCCTCCGGACTTGGGACAGTGAAGTTCGACCTCTCTGAGAGATTCTGAACTCTGTGAGGCCCAAGTTGCAAATGTTTGGCCTCCTTTTCGCTAATCATGCGCGATGACGCTGAAGAAGCAGACAGCCTAGCTTGCAAAGCCCAATAGCAACCAAAGCTTCATGCCGTCTCACATTGCAAAACGTGTTGATAAAGATTGTTAAACCATGTTAAACCAAACTTTTCAGACTTCCGCAGCTGTTCCCTCTCAACATGCAATTGTTCGGCTTGCTGCGAGGACGCCAAGACACTCATCATCAGGAACATCTGCAGATGCCAGCGGGGTGCCCTCTCTGCTTAGCAGCGGCGAAGATGCACTCCTCCCCCTGAGTTAATGCAAATCTCCCAATTGCCCAAAGGTACAAGGACACCACAGGATCAACGATTGATTGATCAACCTACAAAATGCCCTGGGCATTGCCCAATTGCAGTCCGAGCTTCAGTGAACTTTGCCCTTCGCTGCCTGGGCCTTATTTTTTTTTCGGGACATGCGAGCTGAACACCATTTACAGTATATGGTACGGGTACAACACAATTTGACAACTGGGCCATGTTCGATGCAATTTTCACATGTCGATGGAACAGCGCTTCAATGGTTAAACATGGAAACGCGACATTCGTGCTTTGTACAAAGAGAAGTTGTTGAGTGGCAAGTGATGCCCTGTACATCTCTTTACTACTGGTTGCTGGTGTCTGGTGTGTTTGCCAATTTCTTGCTAGAAAGTCAGCGTGGCCCATCAAGCTCAGGCACTTCGGCCAGCGAGGCGGTCAAAGAGTGCCAGCTTGTCCGGGCAATCGAAGTGAATGAAGGTGTTTCTGCCGCGACTTTGTTGGCAAAACTGGTCAGCTGGGTTGTCTATGCCCAACTTTCGGTCATCAACATGTAAATCAAAGCTATTGTTTGTGTTGGACATAATGCCGGCAACTATTCCAGGATCAAACAAACTTCAGACCAAGAGCCAAGGACGTGAACTTCAAGTATGTCTAGAAGCACCCACCCATTCAAACACTTGCATATCTCCAAACGGTTGATTCAAAATGCACAACTTATATACCCTCGGCTCAAGGCCTTGACCCCAAAGAGTGGCTATTCGCTTCTTGCTTGTCAGGGAGAAGGTGGCAAAACACAAGCAACAAGGGGACTCCGACTCGGCAAAACGTTTCGTCGCAGTCTCAAGCCTCACAGGCACTTGCACATTTTGCCATGGATGCCTAGGTTCGCCCAGCGACAAAGAATCAATCCCAAAAGCCTGGCAACACGCCTTTATCTGTCCAACATGTATGGACGCAGGGTCAATCAGTCCGCTTGGACAATCAGTCCGCTTCAGGCAGTGGGGAAAGTGTTGCTAGGGCTGCTGCGCCGCCAAGTTCTCCTGGCGCCCAGCTTCAAGATGCTTGAATCGTAGAAAGACCACCAAAGCCGCCGATTTCAATCAAAACCACCACAGATCCACCGATGTCCTACTTGTGGACCCTGAAGTGGTTTGTCAAAACTAAGGCAAACAGCTGAATTGAATAGTTATTATAGTTATTGAAGTGTCAAGTTGCGACTGTCAGTCATAAAACAAGCTATTTATGTTGAGGTACTTGGAATCTTCAAAAGATCTTCGCTGCAATACCTGATTCAATGTCTGATGTCTAGTGATTACTGCAATTAGAATGTGAAAAGTCAGAATGAGCTGCTCGCCCGCAGGTCCTTTGGCTGGCTCCTGGCACAATCCGGTCATCAAATGCAACTTGATACGGCTCGCTCTCTCTCTCTCTCTCTCTGGAGTGATTTTCTCAAGCATGAAATAATGATGATTCTGAGATATTCTGAGAAACACGGACTAGAAGTAACCATTAAGTAAATCATTATTCATTATTCATTATTCCAAATATGACTCAATGATAGCTTTCCCGGAAGTAACTTCTGAGTTTGTCCGAACCTGTGGCCGAGAGAGTCCACCAGAGCAGTCCAACAAGGAGACACGAAATGCCTGGTTTCTGCCCGCCAGCTGGAATGTTCATCAACAGCCTGCACCAATTGAGAGGCTGCAGTGTCTGCTCTGACTTGACATCTGCCGCACTAGAGTTTGAGAAAACCACCTGCCAATACTAGCTAATGGGAAGCACAAGAGAGCATTTCAACATCAGGAAGCTAGTGAGGCAACATCGTGCGATGCATCTTTCACAGCGAGCATGCCCAGATCACATCTAGAGAGAAACATGGGACCTGACTCGACCTTGCGCCTACACCGTGCTGCATGCGGCACTTCTATAGATTAGACTGATATCAGAATCAACGATTAAACCTCAACAAAATGTTTGATGGCTTAAAGTGCAACCATGTGCAACCCTATGTGCAAATGTGATGTGTTTTCAACTCTGCTTCATGTTGAGGTCTGTTTGTGAGTTCAATGTTAGCTTCTTATGCCAAAACAGAACGATACAATATATATATATATAATCAACTGGAGCTGAATTTAAATTCTACAAACATTCTTGGAGGAGAGAACACCAGGTGTTTAACCATTCCGAAACTTTACAGTAATTTGCTATTGCTGTTGCTGAACCATGGCCTGGCCTCACCTACAGCAAAAGCTTGAGTCTTCTGTGTGCTGCGTGTGTCACTCGAAATTTATCATTGATGGGAGCTGCGCAACAAACTCATGTATACAAACCTGCGGTAGAAGCAAAACATAGTTGCCTCCGCCAATTCATCGTCCGAGTCGAACACAGGCTCGATGACAGGATCTCAGATCCAAAATTGGTCGAATCGGTTTGTCTCAAACAATCTATATAACCAGCCGCAGCATCTCATCTGGAATGCCTTTAGCATCTGTGGCCCTCCATTGAACAACTAGGCTAGGCAGTGTGTTTTTTCTGCGAAGACCTGCAACCATAGCAAAAAACATTTTACAAGAATTGTCCAACTTGTTCACTTTGCATCTTCACATCAAGCTTGGCGGGGCACTCAAGTAGATTCTTCGTTGATGAGCTTCATCATAAACAGCTCCGGCCTGAGAAACGCCCCTCGTCCGACCCCACACACGAAGAACCCATGAAGGACAGGTCGAGGGTATTGCTGTGACGACGTCTGAGCCTAAATGGGTACAAAACAAAAACGTCCAAGTGGCGGCTCTCCACTTGTCCCGCACCTCCTGATGAGCGCTGGCAGGCAATTCCAGTGGAGCGATTCCAGTGGTTTGTAACGCCTGGACTTTCTCGACTCTACAGTAAATGGTGCCAATTCGACGTCAGGCTGGACCAACCAAAACATGATAAGCCGCGTTCGATTGCTCCTCCGCAAAGCCTGGATTGACAGCTTCAGACCTGAAAATTGATGAAATTTGATCTATGATTCTGGCCAAACGATCTGCCAATGTGAGTAAGACCGTTTGCATCCGGAGGTTCCCTCAACTCCAGTTAATGCTGTCGGCTGACTTTCGGCTGCAAAGACGTTCAATCGAGTTGCATTTTTGGCAAGGTTAGCCGGAGAGGAACCCGGAAAGTCGTACGCACCGGACGTGAGTGGACTGCAAACCCCTTGTCACTTTGGTTTGACCAATTTTTTCCAGGTTTGGGAGACGAATGATTAGGATTCATTTGCACTTGTCCACATGAAGGGTGGAATTTCCTTACAGTACAAGGCGTGTTCCGCCCCAGGCCCCAGGCGGTTTCCAAGAACTTCTTTACAGAATCCAACCGCTACAGTTGCTGCTGCAGTGACTTCTGTCACCCCGTGACTGCTGCTACAAGTATTGTTTGCTTAGTTTGACCCGCACTAGCCGTAAAACAGTCTTTGCATGTTTTTGCGAAACAGCTCAATGTGCAGCATACACGATACAATACGGAATCTGTTGGAAGTTGGTACAGTAGTCAAGCAAAGTCTAGCAACACCGTGCTTGACTCATTGGTGAGCGTCCCCACTGGAGCTAAGAACACACTTAGATTGATGCTCGCAAGAGCTAAATCAGTTGACGAAGTTCCACTTGACTGCAGGTAGACCTTTACACTCAGTTAGACCTTGGCTGAAGGAACGGAAAGGCGAAGGAGTCCGCAAACCTGAATGGTTGAACATCGCTCAGTAATTTCAGTACGTTGAAAAACTATGTGCAAGTACGTTCCTGAGGCGTCCTTCAAGAATATCACAGTCTCAAACCACCGTCCTCCGTGGGCAGTGGATGGTGAGAGACTCACTGCCCCCCTTTGCTGAAACAAAGTTATTCCACCAGCGGTGAATTATTCAATGCATGTTCCTTAGAAACAGGTACGGAGATACACAAAAAGCTGTGAATCCGGCGCGCTCTCTTTTTCTGCGGGCAGGGGTGGGGGGAGGGAATGCGTTGACTAAACGAGCCTGGATGTCCACCTAACAAGCCTGAGAGAAGGAACAAAACAAACGAAAAGGCAAGAAAAGAAGAGAAAGGTGCAAGGGGTGCGGGGGGTGGGCAGGGTGTGCATTGCCTAAACGAGCCTGGATGTCCACCTAACAAGCCTGAGAGAAAGAACCAGACAAGCGAAAAGGCAAGAAAAGAAGAGAAAGGTGCAAGGGGGCGCGGGGGTGTGGGCTGGGCGGGAAGCCTGGCGAATTCTCGTGCATGGGGTGCGCACTGGCCCGAAGGCACTGGCAAAAGAAGCCGACATCGGCGCAAAAACCTCAGTTACACCTGAAAGCATCTCCAGAAAACACAGCCAAAAGACATGTGAATACTTAGCCGCATGACGTGTCTTGAACATGCGAATACATAGCCGCATGAGAGGTTCCATACTGGAATTTTGATCTCAGTAAGCCCTGCGGCGTGTGATCAGCTGTTTCAAGCGGAGCAGTGGATCAGGTAAGGGTGCGAGGCAAGGATCAGGTGAAGGACGAGGCTCAGGAAATATCATCCTTATAAGGGTATGTGCACATGCTGCGCCCCTGGTCGGGGATCGCACCACAGACCTCAGTGGGACCCTGTGGCGATACACACTTAGATTGATGCTCGCAAGAGCTAAATCAGTTGACGAAGTTCCACTTGACTGCAGGTAGACCTTTACACTCAGTTAGACCTTGGCTGAAGGAACGGAAAGGCGAAGGAGTCCGGAAACAAGAATTGTTGAACATCGCTCAGTAATTTCAGTACGTTGAAAAACTATGTGCAGGTACGTTCCTGAGGCGTCCTTCAAGAATATCACAGTCTCAAACCACCGTCTTCGTTGGGCAGTGGATGATGACAAACTCACTTGCCCCCTTTGCTGGAAAAAAGTTATTCCACCAGTGGTGAATTTTCCTCAATGCCTTAGAAACAGGTGTGGACACACACACACACACACTTATGGATATGCGTACTGACTTGACAGCGGTGCCACACGCCAGCCTAGGTTGCCATTTCCTAAGAGTACAGGTAAAACCTCATGGAGGCTGGGGGTCTTCAAACGGAAGTGAGGCCCAAAGCGCAAGCACCAAATCGACGAGTTCGGATCGACAAGATGACGAATTAAAAGGAATAAATGGCCACCAGCTGCGTCTTACAATGCGCCCAGGTGCACCAAGCAGGTACGTTTTCACGATAGCTTGGATGGGTCTTCGTTGGCCCATGCCATCCAAGATCATCCAAGTGTCCATGGGCCCCCTGCTGAAAAAAACAGCAAACAATCCAAATGGATCCCTGTGATTACAGGGGGTACACACACTTCGAACTTGGGTTTTCAGTTAGACTCAATTGCCACGTTGAG